TCTCCGGCATGTCCGACCCTTCGCGGACGCTTGCGAACGCTTTGCGGACGCTTTGCGGACGCTTGCGGACGCTTTGCGAACACAACGCAACGACCTCGCGTCGCCTCCTGGACCCCTGGACCCCAACTTTAAAACGAGAACCCTTCTGCGGAGCATTCGGGAAAACTTCTCACTCTGTTTCACTCTGTTGGACTTATGGTGTGCAGCTGGGACCGATGGGCAACTCAGAAGTATTTTTGACAGCGAGAACAACAGCATCGGAAGTATGCCGCGCAGCGCTTGAAGCGAACAGTCCAAAAGCAGCACGAGGGCACAGAGGCACCGAGCACCTGTTAGCTTCATAAAGGCATACATATCCTGTAGGAATGTGACGTGTCCTCAAGTAAGTAAATAAGACGCCCCGCAACCCCTGGAGCTGCAAGCCAAAAGCCGCCGGGCACCTGAAAGTGCAGCAAGTCTGAAAAAATTGAGCCTGAATCTAGATACCATTTTTGAACCCAACAAAGAGATGCTTTAGTGCAATGGCAAGTCAAGTTCCAGAACCTCCCTAACTCGCTTGCTTTCTGTGCAATGCAATGCTGTGAGTGCTCCTGTCCTCAAGAGCAATACCCAGCAGCTCAAACAAAGGCGTTGGATGCACAGCATCCTGCACGAGTTAGTATCTCAGTCCAACACTAGTGCAATTGATCTCTTGCAGTAGGTCCTGTCCTGCAATGCTATAACTGTAAAAGCTTCGATCAGATTGTCCAGACCTTCCTGGTATCGGTGCGCCTGAGCTTGCCCACACAAGAAAAACGATACAGGTCCTTTCCTCTAGCCTGAGCTTACAACGTGTACCAACGCCCTGGTCAACCGCTCGCAGGCCTAGGCCGACCATGACCATATCTCTGGCCGCTGTTGCCAAAACTGACGCCATGCAAAACACACGTCTTAAAGGATGGCATGCCAACTTGGAGCCTCGCACTGCCATACAGAGGGCTCTCTGTTCCAATGCTTCGATCATACAGGCTTTTGGCTTTCTGCAACACATCCACTGCTTCCTCAAACCTGCCCATTTCGTCATAGCAGCTGCCCACGGAATCATAAAGCTTTGCTAGGGTCACGTCATCGTCGGGATCCTCTTGGAGCCATTTTTCTAGTGCCTGCTCCAGCATTGGTGCTGCCTCGTCATAGTTCTTCTTGTTCTTGTGGACCAAGCCTATGTTCCACAGATCTTCTTTGTCTAGCAGCAGCTTGCCCTGACAGGTGTTACGTGGGGATGCGTGCTCACAGGATGCGTGACTGTTCAGCCTCAGCAGTTTTCTTGCCAACAAGCTCGGCAGCAGCATCGAAGTAGACTTTGGCTTTATCATGTTCGCGAAGCTGGTTGTACACCGTGCCAAGGTTGCGCAAGGTCGCCTGCGCATGTACGGACATCCTTTCATGAAGAGCGCGCGGTTCTGTAAACGCATGGACTGCAGCAGTACCTCGCCTCGTGGGGAGGTGTTAGTTTAGCCACTTCTTCCAGCATAGGAGCAGCCTCTGCTTGCCGATTTTGTTTGCACCTCAGTGCCCGGATGGTTTGCTCCCACCATAGAAAATTGAAAAGAGCCGTGATGCAATTACTGCTAGGACGGGCGCCTCAGTGTCGCGCAATCTTGGAACCATTTGACATTCCACGGCAAGCCGCGCGACAAGCAATGGGGCTTTGTCGCTTCATACAACGCATCTGCCTGTGCCAGATCGAGCTGGAGATGCTTATTCAACATTTTCTGCTCAGCCTTGTCCAGAGCATAGTTCTTCAAGTACACAACCGCAAGGTCCAAAGCGGCCGCCAGCACTTCCGGTGCCCGGAAGCCCTCATCAGATCTGTCCATGTAAATCGCCCCAAACAAGCGCAAACTGCATGCACACACAGAGACAGACACACACACACACACACACACTTGAAATGTTTCAACCCAACTAAGTTGAGTTGA